AAAACCACTGGCCTAAAACATTCAGTATTTTTATGGTCTAGACTAGAGAGCTGATTCACCCAGATCAGTCATTAACTTTATTCACATTGCAGATGCACAAGATAAGGAAATTCCCTCCTGTTTTTAATCTGTGTAACTCTGTTCTGAATAGGAAATATCTGGTTGTAAATTGCAGATGACAAATGTGATATTTGATGTTCGGTAGATATTATTTACTTTTCAAAGAATCAATCATGCATTATGACGTTAAACTAAAAAGCATAATAATGGCATTCTAAAAACTAGAAAATACATAGGACTAGATGTACTTGGGTCTGCTCTGAACACATTGCTTTTATTGGATTTATCCATGCACAACGCACCTTAATTACATATCCCGTGACTGCAATTTTGGAAAGATTTTTTTCTTTAAAAAAATTTTTTTTAACTTCAACACATTTTCTGTTCTTTTGGGCTTCGCACCAGTTTCGAGAGATGTTTCCCAGTTAGCAGACAGCAACAGTATTGTCATCTGCAGATTTCAGGGTGTGAGTAGAAGCATTGACAGATCTTTTTCTGTGCAACAGCCTTCCTCTGTCAAAAAACGAGCCTTCAAACCATCAATTCATATAGTCTTCTCTGCGGCTATGTGTATGTGTGCGAGCACGCTTGTGTTTGTGTGTGTGCGGACGTGTCTTTGTGTGAGCGCAGCTGTTGTCAGGCCATCTTTAGTTAAAAGAGGAAAGAAGAAAAAAGCTTGTGGGGCTAGGAAATCCCCTGCAAGTAGACCGACATCCCAGTCACCATCGATGATGTCTGCAATAGCAATAACATAGTTAAATTCAGAACAAAACATCAAGTGCATGATCATATTGATATTTTCAACTGTGTGTGAACAGTTGCACATGCAAAAGCAAAGACAAAATGAACTCTCCAGGGTGTTACGAGATGCTTAATGTCAGAGGTGACAAAAGGTTATGCAGACAATCTTAAACAACATGAAGAGATAACATTGTGCATTTCTAAGTGCACTTTCTGTTGACTTTGCAAAAGCTGCATCCAAGTTTTTTAGTTAAGAAATTTAAGGTCATTTTATCAGTGCACTTTCCATTGTGCATGTAATTGTGACTTTTTTTCTTTTTTTTTTGTGGTTTAAAACAACAAAACTGCAATTCTACTTGTTTTATGAACTTTGTTCTTGGTTGAGATTTATTTATGGGACACTTTGCACAAGGCAAATGCATATAGAATGATGGAGTATATTAGAATGCAGTAATTCAATATCAGGCACTAAACTGCTGATTAATGAAGCTATTTTACAATAATTTGATCAAATAATACTTCACTCTTGTTTTACAACTTACTTTTTAAACAGTCAAAATAAGCTGTGTTACTATGAAATATATGTGTTGTCTGGTAACACTTAGCTAAGCAGTCTCAAGTTGGACGCATACCAGGCCCCACTTTTGAGCCGAAAATATCAGGCCCTTTCACTATGTGGGAATTCCCCCTTCTGTTTAAAAACACAGCAAACGCTTCCCCCATTGCCAACAGTTTCCTTAAAAAACGCCTCTCGGACACAAGTATAATGTGTAGGTGAGTAATTGTTCCATGTTTTTATTGAGCATTTTCTAGTATTAATAGAAAAAAAATGCTGTATCTTAGTTTGTTTAAACTTGGATAATATAATGGGAAATTATACCAGTAAATCTGTACATTTGCATTTCCATAAAAGCTCTGATGAAAGGGTATTTATTTTTTGATGATGTAGTAGTACATTTCAATGGAAAATGTAGGCTATTAAAAGTATGTATCATTTACTAAAAGGTGCATGTGTTTTCTATTCAAACAAGACAAGTATATAACTTTCTAAACAGTACTTTTTTTTAATTCATTGTTTTTCAAACTGTCTTTGGTTGTATTTCATTTCATTGATATTTTATTTGGACACTCTTTTACTGCACATGCAGCTGTACATCGCAACGTTTTAAAATTGATTGATTGCTGACCTCCGATGCTTTAAATAAATCATATTGAAAGTTTTATTTATTTATTTTAATACGTTACCACTAGACTTCTCAATAAACATTCAGATTGCACGCATATGTGGCAGAACTATGTGTGTGATTTTAATCTTAAATACCACAGTGGTAAATTTCCACAAGATGTCACCATTTATTTTCAGTGCAGGGTGAGATTTACAAATAGGATGTTAATCTTTCTGATTTATTAAAAAATTTGTGATATAAAAGTTGCATTGAATTTCCTCCTAAAATATTATTGTTCTATGGTGTTGATGGGAACTGAATTCATACTTGGATTAAATCTGATAAATCTGGAAATCCCTTTGTTCTGAATTAACCTCAATGGTCATCCATCCGTTCGTCCGTCTGTCCATCCATCTATTAACGTTTATCACGAGTTTCGGTTTCTATTACAATAATGGTATCATTGAAAACATGCTGAAAATTACAAATCCCGAAAATGATTTAAATTAGCTGCACAATGTACATTTTCTCATAAATGACAACTCGTGTTATGTTCCTGTCAAAATACTATTTTAAGTACTGTGGAATATTTTTGACAATACAATTTCTGAAAGCTTATGCCAAGCACTTCTCAAATTGCACCCCTCATCATGACTGTATTTTTTAAGCTATTTTTCAATGCATATATAAATACTCAACATCATACTGAAGTCTTAAAAGGAAAGTTCACCCAAAAATGGAAATTCTGTCATTATTTTATTTCTTCTGCTGAACACAAAATAAGATATTTTGAAGAATATGGGTAACCAAACTGTTGATGGACCCCACTGACTTCCATATGGAGAAAAAAATACTATGGAAGTCAATGGGTCAACATCAACTGTTTGGTTACAGACATTCTTCAAAATATCTTCTTTTGTGTTCAACAGAAGAAAATAATTCATACAGGTTTGGAACAACTTGAGGGTGAGTAAATGATGACAGAATTTTCATTTTTGAGTGAACTATCCCTTTAACTTGGACATGCCCACCTTATTGTAATGTTTGTTTATGTTAAGCATTATGAAAGTATGTATAAATTACAAACAAAACAGTCATTTGCTTATGTTTTAACTTCCAGAATTGGCCAATAATGACAACTCTTATGTTACCCAATTCAACGTCTCATTATGTTTCCTTGTGAATTTCTTGTAGGCCTTAAACACAGCATTTTATTTTGAACACTCAAATTTAAGAAATAATATATATATATTTTTTAGATTAACTATAGGCTAATGTTGTTTAGAACAGCTGAAACAGCCATTTTAGTTCCCTGCAGTACCGATTAAAGTTTCCAAGAAAACTCACATCCGTATGAGTAATATGGCAGGCACCTGATTAACTATTAGATTGTTTAACCTAACCTGAACACATACATTTACACGCACAGCCTATATGCTTCTGCTATATTTGAGTAAAAAATAATGCACCCGGGATACAAAGATGCACATTCTTTATATAACTGTTTGTTTTGTTAATGAAAATGAAAAGTGATTTTGTGTTATTGTGCATGTTCCTAACTTCAATTTGATCCAGGTGGATTGATAAGTAGGCCTATACTGCAAAGCGCTCTGACTAAAAGCATCTAGTAAGCTACTTTATTTTTTATTTTTTTTTACTAAATATAAATTTGTTGTCTATAATTTACCCACATTTTTAAACCACAGACACACTAAAAGACCTATAAAACATATTTAGACATTTTGGTAGGGTTTCACGTAGGCTAACGTTACATGACATTAGGCAGGATAACTCCAATCCAATCATACAATGTGTAAATGAGTCGGTTTTTTCTATAGTAGTCTATATGGGCTCAGTCATTAAAATAACCCAGTACAGCCACCAAACCAATAGCCTATTAAACACATTTTCATATGTGTGTGGCTGTTCAGTGCGAGCAAACTAACGATGTTCGTGAATTAATCATTCTTTTGTTTCGGATCTTTCCCATGAATCATTTGAATCGGTTCATAACAATGGGTCTGAACAATTCTTTTACGAATTGTACTGAATCTATCCCAGCGGTTCGTAATGAGAATCGATTCGTAATGATCCGAATCGTTACGAGTTGGAGTGTCCCGAAGATTTGACTAATTTTGGAGATATTAATGGGCTGAAAATATGCCTATGGCGAGTATGGCCTGATTATGATAGATTTATTAACAGACATACTGAAAAGAGTTGATCTTACTAAACAGGCTAGCATTTTATTAAAATATACTAAACCATTTTCAACCAAGAGTGAAAAAAGGTTTTTAGTATTGCAAATTATATTTAGAAGATATATAAATAATAATAATAATAAAAACAATAATCTATAGTGAAAACAAACTGAACTGGACACATGAAAATACAATAAACATCCTTATCAATAAAACTAGAAAAAAATAGGCCAAAATATGTCTTTAGTGGAACGTTATGGAGCATGTAAAAATGGCGAAAGAGTTACTGAATTGTGCTTTATCAAATGAACAGTTCGAAAGAACCGAATCGCGGAAATGAGTCGGACTTCCCATCACTACAGTGAACGCGGCTCTGTTTACATCTGCGGAATTTCCCGGCTCGCGCCGCGAACCACTTCCGCAAACCTCAGGCCGATCAAAGACGCATCTCCGTCAAGGTACAGAAAGAGCTCTTCTTTTAATTGAAAACAAAAACTCAACGGTAAAATACAACTTATTATAATCGTTATCGTGCGACAGCTATGTTTTATTCTGTCCTAGGACATTATTGAGCGTATCTAGGTGCTGTTTGTGGTTTTAGAGAGAGCTAGCGTGAAAGCTTTTGTCTGCTAGCGTGGTAAACACATCACCTGCTGTTAGCTGGATGCTAAGCTAATAGCATCATGTATTTGTTTTTATAGTGAGTCATTTATTTAGGCTTCAAAAATACGTTGGGTTTGACCTTGTGTGGGTAGGGGGTTTCGGCTCATGCTTAATAAAAGCTAAAGCTTTCCGTACTGTATCTCTTTCAAGTCGTATTGTTAAGAGCTTGGAGGGGATTAGAAATAAACATGATCCTCTAGATGAGGTTTCCTCTTATCTAAGAGTACCTATCATTCAGCGATGATGTTGACACTACCAGATCTGTTTAAACAGATCTTATCATGGAAAGGAAAGTGAAAGGGTTTAGCTTTAAGTCTAGTTTGTTGGATTTGCTGTTTCTGTGAAGGTAGGTGGCTGTGTTTTTGGTGTCCAAGAGGACACGTATTTAGATCGTCTTATTAGGATTTCTGAGATATGTCTGATGGCACATGATTATTAATTTGTTTGGCTGCTCGTTTGATGCGTCACTTATGTAAATGTCATTTGTATGGTAACGTTAGTTTGGATCCATTTGTATGGTAGTTTGGATCTTTGTTGATTGTCTATTAACTGTTTTAGAAAATCTTTCTGACTGCTATGACACATTTTAGTTATGATATCAAAGATGTGCATTCAAATCATTATGTCTTGAAATAGCCAAAGAGAAATCCCCAATATGCCATTATTCAAATACCACTCTTTGAATTGCAAATTAACAATATTTACGCACTTTCATGGCGTCATTTCATGTTGCATTAGTAATCTGAAAGTTTTGTTTAATCTGTCCGTACAGTACACACACAAATGAATGACCATCTGATTTCTTTGTTTTAGTACAGGGAAACATGTTTGGTAAGTAACGGGGTTGACAGATGGAGGGAAAAGGCCCATATCGCATCTATGACCCCGGTGGGAGCGATTGCCAGGTCAAAGACGAGGCCAGCAGCCTCAGCTACAGACAGCTGCTAGAGGAAAACACCGTTTTGAGGGAGAGAATGAAAGGTCTGAAGAGTTTAGGTGAGGGATCCGAAACTGCTGCCCATTTTTAATGCCTTTGAGAATCAAGAACCTGATTGATCAGGCTGGTACGGTTAATATAAGTCACCTGGGAAGATTTTATAATAATCACCTTATCATTTTCAATTTCAACATCTGTCAATGACTAAACTGAACACTTGAGGTTACATATAGTTAAATGCCTTACACGTTGCTCATTCAGGAAATCTGAGTCATCAAACCCCTGTATTAATTAACCGGTATTTTGTGTTGCTATTTTGGGCTTATAGCTCTGTTGGGTCAAGAACAGAAAAATGAAGTGATTCTAGATTTTCAACTTTTAGAAGCTATCAATGTGTCATTTGATGTGCTATTGTGTCAGAGCAGCCATGCTTTCACGGTGTGCTTATGTCAAATAACTCATTGTTTGTTTTTCTCGTGATTGTTAGGAGACCTGTTAGAAGAGTCTCAGACAGAGGCAGCAAAACTTCGGAAGAGGGTGGAGGAGTTGGTGAGGGATAATGAAGTGCTGAAGTCATCTACGACCAGCTTTGCCTCGAGCCTATGCATGGGTGCCCCTGTTCAGACAGACAAACAAGGTACAGTGCTGTCATTATTCTGATGGCGTGAGGTCGGTGAAGGGTTCGACGTCGAAGAGACCTGTTTTTAAACCAGATCTTTTGTGATTTTGGCTCCCTTTAGGTCATGGAAAACTGCGCAGTCATCCTACAGCAGAAAGACAAGAATCTCGGGATTGTTTAACTGGAAATACTTTACAACCAGAGGCAACTGTAAGCAATTCTACTGAATCACTTCTTTTAACAAGTTATAAATTACAAATTAATGATGTTATGTAACGTAGTAATGTAACTTCCAGATTTGCGAATTGCTGTCTATTTGAATCCCATGTGAGCAGGGAAATATCCTTTGAGTTAATATTGTATAAAGCGGATCACGTCACATGCTATAATGTGTTATATTACCAATATAGCTTCGATGTTAAGAAACATTATACTATATTCACGCGTAACGGTGTGAGAATCTTATAATGGGAATAAACAAGACTTCCAGTTTTGAATTACTGGCTATTTTAATAAACTGTAGAATATCTTTAATAAGTTAATATTGTATATGATTACCATAACATGTTATAATGTAGATTTGATGTTGCAAAACAATCAGATTCAGAATGAGCTTTATTGTCACTTGATACTTATGTTTGGAAGCACAAGGAATTTGTTTTGTTGACAGAAGAAGCTTCCAGTAAACAGAGACAAAATTGAAATGTGAATAAGATACATATATTTATATACATAAACAAAAATACAAATAATATATTATATCCACTTGTAACATTTACGAAAATTCTACAATGGGAATATAACTTTCAGTTGTGTGATTTGCTGACTATTTTGGTCCAACTTGAACAGCAAAATATCCCATATGACTATAGCAACGCACATGTTATAGTGCATTATATAAAGCTGTTTGAATATATCATATTGTTTCACATCATGTTGTGAAAAGCTAATGGGAATGTAACTTGCAGTTTTGTTTATTGCTCATAATTTTCTTCCTTTGGGAACGGTAAAATATTCCTAAGGTGATATACAGTGTGTAACCGTCAGAACATGTGTTGTAACACTGTAATTTCATGTGTTTACAGGAAAGTTCATCTGAGTTTGAGGTGGTGAATATGGAAGAGAAGATGCTCTCTGAAACCCAGACGGTGAGTTTAAGGGATGTTAGGAAATCCTGGGCAGCTGCAGTCACTCAACTGCACGTGTATGAACTTGTGTGTATTTTTCTGGATTATTGCTCTGTTTCGAACATTCTGTATTCTGTCATTCTGTGCTGCGGACATAAGTCATGTGACAGATTCCAGTCAGTGTAGTTGCTCAGCTGTTTCTCTCTTCCTTCCTTATCAGAGATTTATTCACTGTAATGAATCAACGTATCTGTATGAGGCTGTTCCTTGGATGACTCAGAGGGAAACTCCAGGATTTAGTTAGTAAGCAGATAGACAAAAAACTCATACGTGTGTGTCAGTTTTTGGAATATCTCTTTAGTTAAAGTTACAAAAACTTTTATCCGCAAATTTGCACAACTGGAAATATTTGTATAAAGGTATTTGAGGATTTTTTTTCACTTTCAGTTTATGGTTTCACAATGCTCTTCTTGTGTATTGGAGAAAGAAATAGGGTAGCTATTGACAGTTAGGGTGGCACTTAAATGTCAGGGATGTTTTTGAAAAGAAGATTAATGTTAACCCCACTGTCTAAAGCAGGCTGGAGTGACGCACCTGCCACAGGAGAACATGGAGCTGGCGAGTCAACTCCGACGACTGGAGAGTTCTTTCAGTGTATTTGCTGAAGAGTCTAATCCCAACCAGCTGCTGGCTCACCTGGGCCGCATGGCGGTGGAGTTCCACCACTTATCATCCAAGGTCCAGAAGAACGAACAGAGAACATCTCTCCTACAGGTGAGACAGCAGGGCTCATGACACCTTCTGGGCCTCTGTTTTGGCTGTTATGTGAATTAATCAAAGGTTGATTTGCTGATTATTTAATTCGCTTTTATCTCTAGACGCTCTGCGAACAGCTAAGACAGGAAAACAACGAGCTTAGGAAAAAAATGGAGGAGGATCTTCAGTACCGTAACCGTGATTTGGAACAGCTCAGGTAATTTACTTCAAATTTAAGTTTATTTTCAGAAACTCGTTCATTCATTTAATCATGGAACAAAAAAAACTAAAAAAAAAGCCCATTGTGAATCTGTGAGAAGGATTGGTGTGAGTAAGTTGTGAGAATATCACAACGGGCCAGTATTTCCTGCTGTGCTGGAACTGAGGGGTCTTTCCATCTGATGCTTGCTCTCAGATTCTGAGTGTATCAAATAGAGAATAATTTTTTTCCTCATTCATTAGTTTTGATTTTGTTTCTGTGTACTCTGGACAGGCAGGAGAACCTGAAACTGAAGGAGCAGGTCAGCGGAGGAGGCCAGGCAGCACCTATTGAGCAACCAAGCCCCAAAAAGGAGCCAGTGAAAGAGGATGCAGCCAAAACCAAGGTGGAAATGACCATGACTCAGCAGGTGTGCACTTTTTTTTTTCTCTCCATGAACCTCTTTATCTCAGGTGACATCACCATAGAATTCCTGGTGCTGTTTTAAATTTGTGCCGGGTTTTTTGGTCTTTAATTTCCCTTTCAGACCAGTGATGTCGTGGCCTTGTTGCGTTTTTTTTGTGTGCCTTTTTCAGTCTGAGTTCTTAGAAAAAATACCCAACATGCACATTGTTCTCTGGATTCTAAATTGAGAGGCTTCTTATTGAGTCAGTTTAGTTTTGGGAATACCACCTCATCTCTGAATACTGCTCTTCCTCAATGGTCTTTCTGGTTAAGTTCCTCATTTGTGGGCTTTTTTTCACTATGACTAAATATTGAAGAACAATATACATGGTCATTGTGTTATGTTCTGACTCAACCTCAATACCACTCTCCTCCTGTAGTATGACGGGAAAATTCTGGTGTACTTTGGTTGGTTGTCAGCTAATTGCTGTGATTGATTACCTTATGTTATCAGTTTTCAGTTTAAAGTCTGGCGGGGATATTTTATGACAATTAAATGGGAAGACAATCCATACTGAGTTTCAGTTATGCTGAAAAGATATAGGATGAATGCAGATTTGGTAATACATTTTTTTTGGTCACACACAGAGCAAGGGATTATACTGTATATTGGTTAAATGATTTTAAAATGTTAAATTCCACTTTCCCTTCATTAAATATTAAAATAAATAAAACCTTAAAATATAACAATTCAATTGTAAGTGAACATTTAAGAGCAGTTTCTAAATTTCTTTTGCAAGTATGGCTGTTAGATTAATATAAACCAAAATAATAAATAGAGGCTTTTCTATTATCAGTTTTTATTAAAGTTCAAAGCCCTTTTTTATGCTAACATTTTAGTGTTGGCTTGGTACCCAAGTACTAGTATTTGTCTGCAATTTTGTATTGCAAAATTGGTTAAAACATTTTCTCAATAAATTTGCAGTCTGGTAAAGCTGTGGAAAAAACACCATCTAAGACTTGCGATCCAGAGGTGTACGAGAAGAAGATCAAGCTTCTGGAGAAACAGAGGAAAGATGTAAGAACTTACTGGAGGTCCCCTGCTTTTTCATGCTGACATTACTACTGTCATAGTTTCCCGTTTGTTTAATTCTGACATGTAAACTCTTGCATTTGACCTTTCTTAGGTACTGGAGGTGAACAAACAGTGGGACATTCAGTGGAATTCTATGAAAGCACAGTTTGAGCAGAAGGTACATGTGACAACATATACTCTAGAAGCGCTCTATAAATATGTTCCAATTGGCCTTGTAACCTTTGTGGCTCACCTTATTGCTGGTAAGCATGACATAAAAACATAAAGAAACATGAATCACTCTACTTAGAAACAACAATTGCTTAATGAATCCAACCAGCCGGTGTAGCACATATCAATGGAGGTGGGAGATTGTACCATATGAATCATCACATGAAATTCCTGTTGAAAGTGAAGGGTGGTGACAGGCCATGTTACTGCATTTGGGTGGTGGTGGAAATGCTGCTAGGGCAAAGGAATGGAAAGCTGCTCTGTGTGTGTGTGTCACAGTGTTGCACACCAGACCACAGGCCCCTCCTGTCACACCTTTGGCAGAATTTCCCTCACCTCGGCCGTACCCACTGTCTTCCTGTTGTGGCTCGTCGTAGGGGCTGGCCAAGGTTGCAAAGCCGCGTGATCTCACAGCTCAGAGATAGTGACGCCTGTTGCATCTCCGCATCTGCTCGGCCTGATAGAAGAGAAAAAAAAGAATAAAAAAACAAACCGAGGCTGTTTCTCTACACGCATCCTCTGTCGTCATGGGGGGATCGTGTTAAAATTCAGAGCAGTGGAACAAAAACAACTTTTTGTTTCTTCTTTTTTTTTTGTTCTTGTTGCTTTGTTTTTCATTATAAAATAGACAATCCCTTATTAAACTTTTGATAAAAATTCACACAAACATTTTTGGCCAGTTTAATGCAGCGCTGTAACTGATGGATCTTGGTTTTGTGTTAGTATGCCATGTGAACAAGTATCCAATGCCAAAAAAACTATGATGAGTCTTCATTATTTTATGACTTTTCTCTCCTTCCTAGATCACAGACCTACGGCAGCGGCTTGCCGACTCCCAGAAGGCCGTGCTTGAGCTCGAAGCAGAACGTGAACAGAGACAAAGAGATTATGATAAAAAACTCCTTCTCGCAAAGTCTAAGATTGACAATGTGCAGGTACGCCTTACTGTCAACCGCAGACGGCACACCCACAGACAATCAGAACATATTACTTTTAGGTGCAGAGAAATGCTGATTTGAAAGTTCAAGAGTTTTCCTCTATTTGGTGTTTTCTGGCTAATTTGAATATAACATTTTAATGCCAGTCTATTATTGTAGTTTCATCCATTTCAGATAAACCCACTACTTAAGGGCATGAAATACAAAACAGCTTTACATGTTTGTCTCTTCCTGTATAAGTGGGTGTTATACAAGTGGGTGTTTTTGTAAGCAAGAAAAAAAAGACCATTTTATAAACACTTCTTTCACACAGCAACAGAATATGGTTGTCAGTCCTGTATTTGAGTTCTTAATATGGTAACGTTCACACACAGTACTGTTATTTACTGGAGAGACAACTGCATTCTGTAATCGAACACTCACCCGTAAAATTTCAGGTCTCAAAACCACATTCTCGGAAAATCCGTGCTGTGTGACAGGAACCGGACTGGACAACTAGTTGTCTGTCACGTCATACAGTGTTAGAGAGCTGCTCTGCGATGCACAAACGCGTGTCTGTCTACCATGTGGTGCGGGTTTTCATGTGTGATTTCGGTAATTTACAGCAACAGAGATAAGAGCGTTATGAAGGTTTTAGATCCAGTCACTGTTCTCCACCGGAGCTGCTCCCATCGGTTTTGAGTTCTTCCGATCTCCACCCAGATATAAAAGCTGCTGTCGGTCAATGAATATTTGACGGATGAACTCACTGCTCAATTGAACTCTTGTCGTGTCAAATGTTATACGTTTTTTCAGTTTTATGGATGTTGCCATCTTTTGCCTAATTTATTTATTTTTTAATACTTTTTTTCTTCTTTTCTGAACATTAGCCTGGTATTTCTACCCCTGTGGAGCTCGATGAGACTCTTGAGGGTTCAAGTAGTCATTCAGTGGTTTCAGTTTTCAGTTGGGAAGCACCAGTCATTCCCTCTAACTGGGCATATGACATTCTTAGTACACAGTGATAGTTTCCCTTCAGTCCCACAGGGGACAGTCAAGCAAGCGACATATAAACTGCCTTATAGGTTTATTGAGTCTCATAGACCAAGTCATGTGATGACTGGTTTCATTTTCACATCCACGGCCTTCTTATCTGTGCATCTCAATGCTCTCATGGTTTTTAGTTTATTTATGAGTTATGGACAGCATTACATAGGTTTTGTCAGCATGACTCGCCCCCACAGCTGACCACAGATCTTCCATAGGTGAGGCCTATACCATTGTGTCTCAGACAGTAGTCAAATTTTTTTTTAAATTGTGGAGAATGCAGGTTTTTATATTAGGCACTTTAAAGGTCATAGTTTCATGTGGGCTCACTGTCGTGTCAGGTGCTTTGACAGATTGCTTGTGCTGTTAAATACGATTAAGAGTTGTTTTTCCCCAGCACATACCATACATATATCTGTAGATGTTATGTAGTCAAAGTCATGTGATGCTTTCCATTTTGCAAAACATCCTTACAGAAAGTGAGTTTCTGTTAAACTTCAAATGTAGGGCAATACCTTTGACAAAGTATGTGTTTTTTTCCCAATTGCAATACAGGAAATTGACTTGAACTTTTCTTTACCTGAGTAATCAAAGACATCTATTGATTTAGGTATTAAATTAGTCACTGGTTGCAGACCTACTGTAAATGTGACATTTATAGTAAGATGCCTTCAGTGGTGGAAAGAGTACTGAAAAAACATTCTTAAGTAAAAGTACCATTTCATTCCAAAAAATGTAGTGTGAGTAGAGTAAAAAGTACTTGTCCAAAAAACTACTTGAGTAGCTTATTTAAAAGTACCATGAGTAGTGAGTACTGAGCTGTCCATTCTACTCCCTTACAATAAACACTGTGCACTACAATTAATAAATTAAAAAAACATTGTACATACTGTAATTCACATTATCTTTTGTTCTTTGTCAGAAAGATTGAAGAATATATATCATCCATCTTTTTAAAACGCATCAAAACAGTACAGTCATCACCATTTAAATCATATTGTTTGAAAAAAAGCCCATTTAAAATTAGGTGTAAGGCCACTGAGCCGAGCATGCTATTGTTGCACATAAAATATCAATGTTCATAACTGTGCAAAGAATTCAAAAACCTTTAGAAACTCACACGATAGTTCAGCATCACACACCATGAGATGGGTTAAATAGAGAGATTAAAAAATACCCAATTTCTCTGCAAAACGGTACAACTTTTACAAAACAAACACACACACACACACACAAAAAAACCCAAATGCATGTCTCTTTGTAGTCTTGCGAAGCTGTTTTATCAGCAGCATCCACAAAAACAACAAAAATGTTTTTGCGCAAGTGCACCAGCTAAATAAAGGCGGATTGTATGAAATGGATCAATCAAAAAACGTTGTTTATTAACAAGCTGTAGTCACGCACTGACAGAAACTGAGTTCAAGTCTCTCTATATGAAGTAAATGGGAGCGGAATTCACCACATTTACGCGCATATTATGAACGTAGCACTTGAGGGAGTTTACTCACACCTAATGTCAGGCCCTGTAGATCGGCTAGCGGCCTATATAAAGATCATTAAGTAAGCAGAAATGTACCTTAGCATATTAGAGGAAGACGCTGATATCTCGATTGAATTGATGCTTGAAATTTTTTTTTTTAAATGAATAAATAAATAAATATGCAAAGAAATGTAAACAAAAAATTTAAAAAAAACTATAAAATAAATGGCTATTTATACTTTTATTTCCCTATTTATGTATAATTATATATTTTCCCACATTTATTTTTTCATTTATTTATTTATGCATTTATTTATTTTATTATTACAATTGCATAAATAATGTTATGAGATAAAAAATTTATAACATTTTGAATATTGAAATATGAAATGATAGAATTGATGAAATTAATTCGTTAAGACGGTGGCTTGGGACCACCTACCAGCTGTTTTAGTTTCATATTTAAACGCATAATTTCATCGATTCTATTATTTCAATATTCAAAATGTTATATAAAAAAATTAATCTCATAACATTATTTATTCCGTGTAAAAGTGTCTGTTATCAGCGGATTCTGTTCATGTGTGCCCAGACATTTTAGAAATCCCGACCAGCTGATGTTTTACGGCCATGTCCGGAATAAAGAGTAGACCTATGTATTGTAGGCCTAAATAGCGAAGTAAACTTAATGGACATAAACCGTGATATAAGATTTTGGCCATATTGCCCATCTCCAAGTCATTTATTTCCTGTGACACCTGTAAAGTCACGTCCACAAACCTCTTGCGTAGTGTTTGGTCACACCACAAGGTGTCACTGTGGCCTCAAAGCTTCAGCACTGCCACTCTGAGCTCGATTGCTATGTCTGAGGTAAAACACGCCCCCCTCATTAGCATACAGAGCAATAAATGTATGAATAAATAAATGTAGACGTAAATGCATATATACATAAATAACAATGAAAATAAATAAAAGTGGAAATAAATAAATGCATAAATAAATAAATAAATAAAAAATAAATAAATGTTGGAAAATATATAATTATATATAAATAGGGAAATAAAAGTATATAGTCATTTATTTTATGGTTTTTTACATTTCTTCGCTTATTTATTTATTTATTCATTTTTAATTTTTATAGGTTTGGTCCTCCATACCACAGCAGCCACGAGTAACAGCAGATTGGCTAGCGGTTAAAGTTTTCTTCGCAGGATTTGATTTGACGACAGTCACGATACCGATTGCTCGATCCAATCACGTTGATGGATAAAAATTAAACTTTAAAACAACCATGTAACACGTAATGACCACAAATGGAAGGAAAATAGCTGAGGAAAAGTACCGATACGTCACTTAAAATGTACTCAAGTAAAAGTAAAACTACACAATTTCTAAACTACTCCAAAAAATTTCTAAAAAAATAAAATAAAAACTACTTATTTACAGTAACGTGAGTATTTGTAATTCGTTACTTCACACCCCTGGATGCCTCTAAAGACAATCCCTCTTTTCACTGTCAGTCAATACACTACACACAACTGTATAAAGTATAGATGTATAACCAAGTGACTGTTTTGCTCTGGTGGCTAACCAGTGTATTTCTGTATGTTGTAATAGGGTGAGAAGGAGTGCCTCACCTCAGAGACATGTGAGTTGAAACAAAAGGTGCGTTACCTGCAGGACCAGTTGTTGCCACTTACTAAACAAAGAGAATACCAGGAGAAAGAGATCCAACGGCTCAACAGGGTCAGTCACAAAACACACATGCACTACGCTTCCTAGCCATCTAAATGGGGATTTGCCATTTGACTTATTGTTCTTAAGTTAGGCAGACACTAATCCAACCCCCTTTGGCATTTGTAAAAAAAAAAGTTAAAATTTTTTTTGTACATTTATTTGATGGGGATATCCCGATCAAGTTTTTTGTGACCCCGATCTGATCCGAGTCATTGAAAATTGAGTATCTACTGATACCGAGTCCCAATCGGATAATTGTATTTCCTGAGTGCTAGGTGCTCACTTCAAGTACATAATTAAAGTTATTAAAATCAATCCAATGTATACAGGGACGTACAGAGAGTTTTTCAGGGAGAGGGGCTCAAAATGTAAAAAAGGGCATCTATCACCACAGAGTCATTTTAATATAACAATTACTGCAGCGCCGTCCAAAAGTTTGGAATCGGTAAGATTTTTTAATGTTTTTTAAAATAAGTCTCTTATGCTCACCCAGGCTGCACTTATTTAATCAAAAATACAGTAAAAACTGTATTTTACTGTACAATAACTACAGTAAAATACAGTTATTGAGAAATATCATTACAATTTTAAATAATTGTTTTCTGTTTGAATATAATTCAGAAATTAATACTTTTATTCAGCAAGGATGCAAAGCGGAATTTTCAGCATCATTACTCCAGTCTTCAGTGACACATGATCCTTCAGGAATGATTCTAATATGCTGATTTGATGCTCAAGAAACATTTCTTATTATTATCAATGTTGAAAACAGCCGTGCTGCTTTAATATATTTGCTTAATATTGTTTTAAAAGCAAACATCAGTTCTGATTGTGATGTTTCTTTTACAGGCATTAGAGGAAGCTTTGAACCTCCACTCTCCCGCTTCCACCCAACCAGGCATGAACCTGGGAGAAGGTGTGGCCAACCTGAGACAGCAGGAGCTGCACACACAGATAGCTGTTTTGAAGGAGCAGGTACAAACACATGGAGACATGATTTGGATACTTCGTTGTCTGACGTTAATTGAACAAGTGGAGACTTCATGCACTGGGAATGACCTGGGACCAGTTTTCAATTTGGGACCAGACTCAATTTATCATCAACTCAAATGCATTAAAATTCATAGATTTTGTGTGTCTGATATGACACGGTGCCTTGCTGTGGTCAGATGAGCTCAAATAGTGAATGAGCTCCTTGGGACACTTGAGTTTTCTCACTGCGTCAGATTTTGTCAGAGGTTCTCTAGGAGTTATTTCACTCATTGAAACTTTACGTGAATTGATTCCGAGTCTTTTTACCTCATCTATCAAACATGCTTTGTAAGAAATGAATGTCAAGGTTCCATGGTGAGTCATTCCGTTTGCTTGAGGTTTGATAACAGACAGCCGTACAGTCTCTGCTGAAATGTAGATCTCCATTCTCATCACATGCGTTTTTCTCAGGTGAAAATCTTTGAAGAGGACTTCCGGAAGGAGAGGAGTGATAGAGAGAGGATGAACGAAGAGAAAGAAGATCTGAGGCGGCAGGTGGAAAGGCTGCAGGGTCAAATGACCAATCTGACAAATCAGGTCAGAATCTACACAGACCCTGCGTAGAATGTCAGCTCTAACCAATTAAATGACTTCAGAAAAATGTCCAATTAGTTAATAATGAGACGTGAAAGAATCTTTTGAGAGTCCTGAATTCAGTGTCTCTGGTTCACAGCTTCATCAAGCACAGAATGAGTGTCAGAGAGAGCGTGCTGAGAGGTGTAAACTGGAGAGACTACAGATGCAACATAAGCAGGTAACTCAAATGTACCACATTAGCACCACCTTGTGGTAGAAACTCTAATAATGCTGTTAATACAGATTACAGATGCCTTAAGTGAAGACAACTGGAACTCATTTAGATTTTGTTTTTCCATGTTTTGGAGGGGCAACAAGAAAGGAGGACGTCCGATCCCACTTCTGGCTCTGCCAATGGCCCGATAGGCCCGATAAGCCCTCCGTACTGTGGCCCCTTTGTACAGGTGGGCCATCAAGGTCTAGAGGGGTGGCCCATACACTTCCCGCCCAGGATGCCCAACATTAGTACGGCACCTGGCAGGGATTTCCAGCCTGTCAACCCCGTAAGTATACAATAGCAATAGCAGTAAAAAAGAATGCAACAGTTGGATTCCGGAAGTAAAAACTCATTTTCTCCATAGGGAAAATAGATTTTTAACAATAATTTATAAAACTTTAAAGACAGCCTTTACTGTCTATCAGGTTGTTAATAGAGAGTGTTTGCTTATAATGAATCTTGTTAGCCTGCATTATTTCAACTTAGTTTTAAAAGAAACGTTTTTAACAGTGGAATTCGTGGTGAAAACATTACCCATGATACTGTACAGAAAGTTCCACCAATCAGAGAGTCGAAACAAGCAAAACGCACCAAAAGATCTCTTTAGCTCCGCCCACTCCCATGAAGCTCCGCAAATTATGTAATCGAGTCAGTGTATATATATGTATGTGTATATATATATATATATATATATATATATATATATATATATATGTATGTGTATGTATGCACATTAGGCATGGGGGAAAAATCGATTCTTTGATTCATATTTTTATTATCAAAAATAAAATGAAATTGCCTGCCTTGCTTTATTACAGAAGACTGCCAGTCATGTGTGTAATGAGTGCAGTCAGCTTTATAATAATATTGGGTTGACTAAAATGGAAAAAAACTAAATAAATTTCAAGGTTCACAATTATTTTCAGTAGGATTTTTTTTCTTCAAGACCTATTAAACGGTCTATCGCAGTCAAATAGGAAAAGTAACACAAAACTGTAAACTAGAATCAAATCAATGCATATATCAAATCGAAATTTGATTCATTGAATGCTATGATTTACCTCGTAGCTGGTTGGTTTGGTTCATGGCTTATATCAAAGACTTTTTTGTAATCCTTATTGGAGAAATGAATGGAAAAAATACTTCCGGAACCAACCCCACTGAAAAAGCGGGCAGGCACTGTTGCACTCTATTGATACCACAGTCTTATTTAAATATTACTGAAGAAATGAAATAAAATTAAAACAACCTTGACATATTTCCTAATTAATTAAGAATTGCTTTAAGTTTGTTCAGTTATTCAAGTAAACAATCAGTATCATAGAACAAATTAAGCATCACTGCAACATTTATTTTTGACCAAGAAGTGAATTTTGGTATTTGTTTAAATTAACTTAATACTGAAGTACAAGTACAAGTGTTTTTTTGTTTTTGCTTTTTTGAGCTTTTTCAATGGAGGTTAGTTCGATTAGTGGTGAAAAATAAAGCTTTCTGCAATTTCTACTTTTTGCTGATTTTTTTCTTCCTTCATATCCTGAAACTGCACAATAGTGTCATTCCAGCACTTTCAAGTGGTTAACTACATGTGGTATGAAAAAGACATGTGGCTATAATGATTTGTACGAACAGGGTTTTACGAGAGGTACATTGTGTCTTCAGTATGCAGAAGTGGACAGAGATCAAAACCGTTGTTCTCTACGTGTCTTTGTAACGGTAACGATTTCTTCTTTCGTGTGTGTGTGCGTTCAGGGTTTTCCCTGGCAGTCATCTTTCCCACAACCACGTGGTTCCAGAGGACAAGCAGACACAGCGAGACCCCCTCCAGAAACTGCAGGTATAAATTATTCATCCTCCGTGTCCTTTCTGCCCTTTTAAATTCTTTCTGCGTCACCAGGATCCATTTTGTTTTGCCACACAATATCAGTCTGACCCAGTGATATTTCAAGCATTCTGTCTGAATCAGTGAGCTTCCACTGGAGGAAGTTCAAATGGTGACGACAGTGAGAACCATGACAGAAGAAACATGAAATGGCAATAGCTTTAAATTTCATAATGATTGTACAAGGCCTATGAAGTTTAGTTTCAGTTTGGGTTTATCTGATATTTCTATCATCTACAGACATGACATAAAATGACGCAATTTGCTTTCCATTGTGCATCATTTATCAGTGTAAATTATTGATGGAAATGTTTGTTTACCACAAATGTCGTTCTCCAACTCTGAAACATCTTTCCTTCTAAATTGATATAGCTACATATGCAATATTTTTTATATGCAGTACCATACCAATTCTTTTCATATTAGTTAGTTGTATCATAGCCCAACTTTGACACTTTTATCAAATTCAGATGTAAAAACTTGTCCTACATTATTTCCTGCTGAATATTCTCTTTTTTTCTTCTTTTTTTTAAACTCAGAAATGTGTTCAAATGTCATGAAAATGGATTTCATGTGGTCTTTTAACAATATCATGACCAGGTTCAGAAATAAATTTGTTGTTGATTAGTTGTCAGACGTAATAGTATATTATTAATTTATTTCAGTTAAATTAGTCATCTTTTAATGCAAGCTAAGCTACTGCTCAAAAGTTTGGGGTCGTTTGGGCTCATTTGTTTGATCAAAAATACAGTTAAAAACACAATATGATGAAATATTATTACAAAATAACAGTTTTCTATTTTAATCCATTTTAAAATGTAATATATTTTTGTGATGCAAAGCTAATTTTCAGCGTCATTATTACTCCAGTCTTCAGTGTCACATGATCCTTCAGAAATCATTTCAATATGCTGATTTGCTGCTCTTTTGAAAATTCTGAATGCTGAAAAGAATATAATTGGACCGTTTTTATATACTTAATGCTCATAAAGATTACAGAATGCAAATATAGCCAACACTTATTGCTGTTGTGATTCTGGTGACCTTCTGGCGATGTTCAAGTCATTGCTCGTGGCCCTTTCCGATCACGCCCCTATCCCCCTATCCCCCCCCCCCCAGCAAATTTACACTGACACTGATCATGACCCATCTAGTTATTTTCTGTAAAAAAAGTCAATAATGTTTTATAAATGAGGAATCTTAACTTTTTTTCTTCTTTTTTTTTTCTGCCAGAAATGGGAGCAACTGGATTTGGGAAAAGGGAGCGTCAGAACATAGATCCCGGAAAGCACTAAACGCATTTTCTCTCTCCTGGAATGGCTCCCGGCTAGTAGCATGATGCAGTTTATTTTCAGTTGGCATGGTGTGAACTATTGTTTTTTTTTTTTCCTACTGTGTATATATATATATCTACCACTGATGAAAATGTTGTTTATATACTTAAGTTTTATAATCCTGTTTGTGAAACACTGTTCTGGCAAATTAAGAATATATACATTTATTATTTTACCTTTTTATTATTGTTGAAGTTTAAATTATCTGCTTTATATAATTCTATGCAGGAATTGAAGTCAGTTATTTAATGGATAATATGATTGAACGTTATTTTTTATAACAATCTACCTATAGAGTTAAATCTCCACTGCTTAATTGAATAATAACCACCTGAAAACAGTATATTTAGTGATTCCCTGACATATAAGAATGTGTTTTGGTATTGATGCATCTACAAAAACGTAACTCTATAGGTGAATTGTCTTGAAAATGGCTAACAGTGGAATGTGACTGAACTGATTCATGATTCCTTCATTGGCCGTGGTTGGGATGGTCACACACTGTCTGCGTATGTCACCACAGGGTGGCGTTACTCTCTGACTGGTCATCTGTCCCATTGTTTAAGGAAGCCATATACTGTACAACACCTGTTAAACCTTTCCATATATTAGATTATGTTCTTCACATGGCTTGTTGATCTTTCAGATATTATGACTGTAATTGAAATAATTGATCAAGGAGGGCCTTCATCTGGTCCTAGTAAATGGTCGCCAGAAGTAACAGTAGTTTTGCTTAATATTGTTCATGATTCAGTGTTCAAAAACATTATTCCCGATGTGCAAATGGAAGTGATAAGTTATTTATATCTATTGTTTTGACAGCAGAGTGTGGTTTAATGTCTTAAGTAATGTTGTCTTTAGTGTATTGTTTTGTGTCTCCCTTTACATATTGTAGCTACTGGAAGATTGTAGGATTTGAGTTTGTGCATATGCACAGTCACAGAAAGTGGGCCAGAATAAATAAGTTAATGCATCACAGTAGTCCAGCCCACTTTTCATTGGTCTCGTTCTTGATCAATCACTGGATGTCTGATTTATAATGGGTCCAATGTTGCACTCAAAACCATTGTAACATGTTTGGAACAAAATTATCTGGGTAAGAGTGACATCCTTTATCCTTTTACGGTCATCCGCCATCATGAAGGCTGTTTTTTTCTGGATGTGTGCAATGTCTCCAACTGCAGAGACCAATGCTTTGAACCGAACGCAAAAAGGTTTGTATGCTCATAATATTCCCAAAGGCGAGCAATTCATTTGCTTCAAAAGCGTGTAATATTTGACATGAAACAAATAGACAGGCATTTATTTTATTAACATGTGGTTGAATTTAATGAACAGATCGAGTTAAGATTAGTGTTTTCAAGTTGAAATGTCTTTGAGCTAGATTTCACTCTGAGATGTGTGCTTCATTTGCTTATTTCCATAATTTACTGGTGTTGCCGGTTTTGTGCTCTTCGGAATGACTTTTTTTTCTCCAGTGGGTGAAAGCAGATCTCATGTGAAACTTTTGTAATTGATTAGTATAATAAATATATTCCAACTGTCTAAACCTCCAAATGTTATTGTGTGAGAGTTAAACTACAAGTTTACAAGCCAGTTGAATTCTCATATCCCTGACGTGCATTAACCAGAGGAAAACATTTTGTTTCTTGCATTACAGTCTTTATTTACGGAGTATAAGCGGAGCAATGCCACAGAGGCGGCAGCGAGTTCAAAGGATAGTTTAGGAGACGAGACATGTTTGAAAAGGAACAGCAGAGCAGCCTGAATGCACTAAAGAGCTGCCCGCTGGCCCTCGGCCTCAGGTCAGGCACCACAGATTGTCTGTTTTCAAGCCTTCCCGTCATCAACATGCCAGTCTCCAAACTGATCCCATGACAGCTTCTGGTCTGAGAATCCTTTTACTTCCAATTTACACTGTTCAAATTCTTGTAACAATAATCCAATTCACAAAGGGTTACATTTTTAAACTGCCACATGTTATCTCGCTTAACACAGTTTATGCTGGAAAGAGAGAGGGAGAGAGAGAGGTGAATGTACAGTTGAATCCACTCTTTCAAAGTTAATCAGCCTTCTGTACAAGCTGACGGAAGTATTTCAAGATGTCTGCCCTAACTTCAGATACGTTCACTCGGGGAAACCACCTCATTACAGGTCTGCCGTCTAGCCCCACCAGAAACTTCTCAAAGTTCCACTTTATGTCGTTGACCTTGAGAGGTTCCCAAAACAATCTGTTGGCGTTTCCGAAACTGTCTCCCACAGGAGGGCAAGCATTCTGAAAGAGAAAGTTCTACATGAAATCTGGCCGCCTTCCTGCCACAATAAGTACTTCTGTCCCTTCCTGTCCCCACAAGTTGAACATTCAAAAATGAATGTCTTTGGATTGTATTACAAAATAACATATACAAATTAAATGCTATACACTCTTTGAAAAAAAAAAAAAGTTTGTATAAACTCAGGTATTCTAGACTCCATTTTAAAGAACCATTTATGCCAAAAAGTACGGAGCCACTAAAGGGACATGGTGAAAAAAAAAAGAAGATGGGAGTAAAAAAATGTCATGCTTTTTGCGTCCCCTCAAAACTTTTGCATTCTCCCAAGAAACTTTGCTTTCGTGAGCGAACTTCTTGGAGAATGGAAAACTTTTGTGAGCGAACGCAATAGCATTGAATTTTAATTTTTTTTTTCATCATCATGTCCCTTAAGGGGCACCGTAAAAAAGTTTCTAAGGAGACAAGTCTCAGATGATTGCGTAATAATTTCATGTTTAATGGTTATTTGATATTTTTTCTAGTGATAATGTGTTTATGAGCTGTTTAATTGATTGTGTAATTTAAAATAAAAATTAATTAAATCCATAAAATGATCCCATGATGGGAACCCCTAAATGTTCTAAATATGAAGTGCCTGACAGAACCCTTTAAAGTTTTAAATAGAACCTTTATAAATACTATTTATTTTAAAGACAACACAAGCACACTTATCTATAGCTAAACATATTGATATACAGGTCCTTCTCAAAAAATTAGCATATTGTGATACAGTTCATTATTTTCCATAATGTAATGATAAAAATTTAAACTTTCATATATTTTAGATTCATTGCACACCAACTGAAATATTTCAGGTCTTTTATTGTTTTAATACTGATGATTTTGGCATACAGCTCATGAAAACCCAAAATTCCTGTCTCAAAAAATTAGCATATTTCATCCGACCAATAAAAGAAGTGTTTAAAAAAAAAAAATAAAAAAAAAAAATAAAAAAAAAAAATAAAGTCAACCTTCAAATAATTATGTTCAGTTATGCACTCAATAGTCAATACTTGGTCGGGAATCCTTTTGCAGAAATGACTGCTTCAATGCGGCGTGGCATGGAGGCAATCAGCCTGTGGCACTGCTGAGGTGTTATGGAGGCCCTGGATGCTTCGATAGCGGCCTTAAGCTCATCCAGAGTGTTGGGTCTTGCGTCTCTCAACTTTCTCTTCTCAATATCCCACAGATTCTCTATGGGGTTCAGGTCAGGAGAGTTGGCAGGCCAATTGAGCACAGTAATACCATGGTCAGTAAACCATTTACCAGTGGTTTTGGCACTGTGAGCAGGTGCCAGGTCGTGCTGAAAAATGAAATCTTCATCTCAATAAAGCTTTTCAGCAGATGGAAGCATGAAGTGCTCCAAAATCTCCTGATAGCTAGCTGCATTGACCCTGCCCTTGATAAAACACAGTGCACCGACACCAGCAGCTGACATGGCACCCCAGACCATCACTGACTGTGGGTACTTGACACTGGACTTCAGGCATTTTGGCATTTCCTTCTCCCCAGTCTTCCTCCAGACTCTGGCACCTTGATTTCCGAATGACATGCAAAACTGAGCAACAGTCCAGTGCTGCTTCTCTGTAGCCCAGGTCAGGCGCTTCTGCCGCTGTTTCTGGTTCAAAAGTGGCTTGACCTGGGGAGTGCGGCACCTGTAGCCCTGGCTCTGGATGTTTCTACTCCAGACTCAGTCCACTGCTTCCGCAGGTCCCCCAAGGTCTGGAATCGGTCCTTCTCCACAATCTTCCTCAGGGTCCGGTCACCTCTTCTCGTTGTGCAGCGTTTTTTGCCACACTTTTTCCTTCCCACAGACTTCCCACTGAGGTGCCTTGATACAGCACTCTGGGAACAGCCTATTTGTTCAGAAATTTCTTTCTGTCTTACCCTCTTGCTTGAGGGTGTCAATGATGGCCTTCTGGACAGCAGTCAGGTCGGCAGTCTTACCCATGATTGCGGTTTTGAGTAATGAAACAGGCTGGGAGTTTTTAAAAGCCTCAGGAATCTTTTGCAGGTGTTTAGAGTTAATAAGTTGATTCAGATGATTAGGTTAATAGCTCGTTTAGAGACCCTTTTCATGATATGCTAATTTTTTGAGACAGGAATTTTGGGTTTTCATGAGCTGTATGCCAAAATCATCAGTATTAAAACCTGAAATATTTCAGTTGGTGTGCAATGAATCTAAAATATATGAAAGTTTAATTTTTATCATTACATTATGGAAAATAATGAACTTTATCACAATATGCTAATTTTTTGAGAAGGACCTGTATATATTAAATGAATGCAATGACATGCAGAAACTTCAAATATCATTTAAGTGCACTATATATTGGTGTTTACATATCAATCATTTTGTTGTACCTGAGATTTTGTTCTTTGAACTTTTGGTCCTAATGGGCTTTTCTTGCATTGTTGCAAGCAATTTCAGATAGATTTCAAAATATGCTTTATTAAGCAACGACCAACCTTTAAAAATGTGAAAAGGGCCTGTTCATTGTCTCCATTCACATCCACCTTCTCAAATAACGGGAAGTTTGGAACAAATCCATTGCCTGGACGAACATACCTATGAAGACAAGGAGAAATTTGTTTCATCAAGAGTCTGTCTATAAGGAAAACAGATAGGGACTTCAGAGAGCCAAGACCAGAAAAGTGGCTTCAGATATCACTCCAGAAAAGAGCCTTTAGGTTTAAGATATATGATACGTGCAGTAATTTAAAGGGGATGATGGACGAGAAGGACAAGCTAATTGCACACTGTCTGATGCTCAGATTGTTGTGACTCATGAGAGATGACCAGTAACTTCAAGGTTAAAATAATCTTGAGAAACCCTCAGTCTTCTTTCTTAGAAGAATGTCTTCGTATTAAAAATTGAAGAGTAATTTATATTTTGGATATCTTGCAAAATCAGGGTTTTTTTTTAACTGCACCATGTCAATATGTGTGTGTTTTATCCAGTGCTATTTTAGTATTATTTATATACTATTGTATTGTAGTATTTAATAATATTATTTTTAGTAAGCTTTTATTTTATATTTTCAGTTTTCATTTTGGTTTAAGTTTTAGTACCGGTAATGCTAGTTTCATAACCACATTTAAATGTCTCTGTTTTGACAACATGACTTTAACTTTTTTATCCTCCAGTTTCACAGACAAGGCTTAAGTCTCAGACTAAAATGCTTGTTTGATCTGTTTTAACTGAAAGCAACTGGCTCTGACATATCTTAAAATATGTGAGTGCCATTGTTTTGTCTCAAGATCCACATCAGTAATGTTTTATAGGCACATATATAAAAGCTACTTAAATGTCCTAATTGAACTAAGGCCTAATCCTGGCTTAATCTGAGCCCTGTTTGTGAAACCAGGTCTATAAGTAAATTCAACTCAATGTTTAAAATCAATTTAATATAATTTCAGATGAAATTTCAGTTAATTCCAATTTGATTATACCTGATCTTAAGGTTCTACGTTGAAATAGGTGGACTTTTTACTTTTTTTACAGTGAACTCACTTTAATGCAGGAAGAATTTCATTATTGTCTCCAGGCTCTTGTTTCCCAAATTGGTTGCAAGGGAACCCGAGGATAGTGAATCCAACATCTCGGAACTCCTCGTGTAGTGCATTCAATTCTGATTAGCATAAAACTCACAGTCAATACAGTTATCAATAACAGGTTTAGTAGTATTTGCTCTTCAATCCTGTCATGAGATGTGTCAAATAAATATTTGTACATATTAATATGCAAACATAATAAATGATGTTTGTATATACTAATATTTGTGTTAAGTGAAATATTTTGCATACTTGCCTACATACTGGAAGGTGAGTCCTCAGTAGGTTGCCACATTGACAATGAGGACATGCTTCCCAGCATAATGGGAGAATGGGATGTACTGGGTCCCATTTATGGTTTTTGCACCATAGTTGTGTATAGTGTCAACTACACCTGGGTTACAGACCTGAGACAGACAAACATAAATTAACTCTGTACCACAATTCAAAATATATATTTTTTCCAAAATAATATTTTATTGTTGTGTTCATAAAACCATTCATGAAAAATACACCTCTATTTTTCTAAAATAAATTCATACTTTCATTCATACTTTCAACTTTCTATTCATTAAAGAATCCTGAAAGAATTACAGTTTCCACAAAAATATTAAGCAGCACAACTGTTTTCAACATTGATAATAATAATAAATGTTTATTGAGCAGCAAATCAGTATATTAAAATGATTTCTGATGGATCATGTGTCACTGAAGACTGGAGTAATGATGCTGAACATTCAGCTTTGCCATCACAGGAATACATTTTATTTTAAAAAAAAAGTTTATAATGCATAATATGCAGGAATAATATTTTATAAAAAATATTTTAAATTATAATAAGATTTCACAATAGTACCATTATTTTTCATCAAATAAATGCAGCCATGGCTAGCATAAATGACTTTCATAACGTGTAAAAATCTTCACACTTTTGAACAATATTAAACATGAAATAAAATCATTATTTAAACATTGCAGTGACCTTTGTATTATCACTAAAAATTGTGAAATCCCAGACAATCAGGTCATATAATCTAATCTAATAGTTATATTTTCAGAATAGAAACGTAGAGGGGTTGCAATGCCCTGACAAAGTAAATATTTACCATGACTTGGCTTTTGCTGTTTGGTATTTGATAAGAACTGAACATGATTCTTGTATTTTCTCTTCCCTGTTTCATTTATTTATTTATTTTCTCTCTCAGTTACTGTAGCAACCCGTGCACCTGCTCCTGATGAAAACAGTGCGCACTAAATCACACTGAATTATGGGCTAAAACCTAACCATTCTTACAGCATTGATAAAACTTTAATGTTTAATACATTTTTTATTTCCTATATTTACTTTGTAAGCTTAAATCAGTGTAATATGCAAATACTTGGAGGTTGTTGACTTGTAGTTTATTGCTTTAATAATCAATGCCTTCTACTTTAATTCAATGAAAATATGTTCCTTAAACTAATGCTCTCTGTTGCTATTTCATTCTTTTGAGCAATCCAATGTTACCAAAACTAAAAACTGTATATTAAGTGTGTGTCTGTCTATCTTACCTGGGTATCGGATAGTCCGCTGACTTTCTGTAAAAGAGCCACCAGGACCAGAGCAGAGATCCAGATCTTCTTCTGGTTCCCCATGGGCTCTGCAGGGTGTCTGTGTGTCGTCTGAATGAAGCGTGGCTGTGCTGGAGATGAAAAGCACTGGAGGAGAGTGACGCAGACAAGCCCGTCATATCACCAGCCTCATCCCACATATTTACATAGTGAATACATGCATGAGCAGCTCTAACCTGCCTAAGATTTTATTGTAATGTAATTTGTCATTTGATTAACAGAATTTGTGTTTCAAAGAGTTGAGGCTAAAGTTATTTGCTTGATAGTGGTGAAATGTTGAGTTATTTTTGGCAACAGTCTTTCAACAGCTCATCGGCAACACTGATATCACAAAAGCACAAGAGGTTCTTTTACATGCATGCAAACAATTTGACTTCAGCTCTGCATTGCCTAAATACATATTCTTTTTTAAAGAGTTGTTTGTATTTATTAAATGGACATGCAAGCATTTAATTTCATTTTATTAAGCTTTGTATGCATTTAATGACATTGAAATCAGAATTAAAAAACATCATGGATTTTGAATAAAATGTTTAATGCCACACTTAACCTGAAACTTAAATTAAAACCATAGCCATAAAACCATGTTGCTTGAAAGAAAATAAACGGTAGTTAGAATAAAATAAAACATATACAAAGTTAAATTTGTTTCATTTCAGACATTTCTCATTTTCATTTAGTTTAACTTGATGTATTAAAACAGCTAAAACTGAAATAAAATTAAATAAAAACGATATATACTAAAATGAAAACAGAAATGATAAAAATAACTTTTAAAATATTAATAAAAACTCAATTATATTAAAATAACACTGCATTCAACATATAAGAAAGACATCGTTCTCCCTTCCAGTGTGCCAAAGTGAGGCCTTTTCAAATGCAACATGAAAAAATTGTAATTCTATATTTTTGCATTAATTCATGTTTAACTAATGCACAGATAATACTGAATTAATGTGTAACTAATGATTATCTAAGCTATTCATTAATGATTACCACATTAGGAACTAATTAAGAGTCTGTATGGTTAATGTATTAGTTCATACATGAATGGTTATTAATTAAATATGTAATTGTGAATTAATTCCCTAATAACTAATTTTTTTAACTAATAGTGTTAATTAATATGTTAATTACCAGAATGAGCCAAAGCCTTGTATTTCAACTTCCGGATAATAGGTACACTAATATGCATTAATACATGATTAATTACTTCATTGTTTGTGCAAATTCAAGTGTAAATTACTACAGTTACTAAATGACTAGTTAATAATGATGTGCCTCAACAAGTAAAGTCATAACATAATGATACCTTTGCAAATCATTAGCTAATGATTAATTAAAGCAGACAACTGGAAGTTAAAGTGCATAGCTTTGACTAATTGTGGTAATTAACAAATTCCTTAACACTATTAGTTAATAAAATATGTTATAAAGGAATTAATACACAATGACACAGTTAATTAATAGCAATTCATGTATTACTTAATCTATTAATCATATAGACTCTTTATTAGTTGCTGATGCAGTAATAATTAATTAATGGTTTAGTTCTTCATGAATCATACATTAACTCATGATTATCTGTGCATTAGTTAAACATGAATTAATGCGTATTAGTGCACCCGTATTGTAAAGTGTTACCACATATTGTTCCAAAAAAAAAAAAAGAATAATAAAAATGTTATTACTCACCTTGACTCAACCCTTGCTTACTGTATCTCCCTCTTCACATGCATGACCCATCGTATATTAAAATGATATAGTATAAAGAAAGACCACTGACAATGAAGTCCCGGTTTTGTAGAGTTTACTTTGGCTCCCTGTGTGTGTTAAAATGTATTTTCTTATAGCCTATAGCTCACAAAGCACTGCATAGCATTGCAGCTTCACGTTACTGTTGCTTTATATTCTATACAGCATCAGGTGCCCTCAGATCATCTCATGTTAAGCTTCTGAAAGTATCAAAGGTTAAGCTCAAGTATAGTGAAATATAGTGAGCTTTCAGCTAATATGTGGAAGCTGACAGAGTAGCTTTTATTTTATGTCTGCGTTTTAAACTTTTTTTTTTTTACATTTAAATACAATTTCATTATTTTTCCTAAGCTATAACTGAAGCAATGGTGCAAAGGATACACACGGGCAGTGCAAAATCAAGTGCATTAAGTAGACTACAGAATAAGTATTCTTAATAAAAACTACATACGAAGCACTTTATAATGATAAGAAGAATCCAAGGATTACAGTGCAGCTGCTGTTACCCATTATATCCTGTCAACAGAAACAGGTGTCTGACTGACTGCCTCCCTGTTTGATTAAACTATTATACTGTTTGCAGAACAAATTACTCACTCGGTGGATTAATGGATCTTTTGCGTTAATTAACACAAACTTGACCTTTATCAAACTGGACCATGCAGCAGCTATTTCTTCTAAGGTGACAATTCTTGTGGAAGGAAGAAACGTATGGGCATATGCATAAAACAGCTATACGACATCCTAACAAAACAGTATGACTGAGTGGTGGCAATGGAAAATAATACAGGCAATTGTGCATACAATATGAACAGCAGGGGCGCTATTGACATAAAAGCAGGAAAGAAAAGATCACGTATGTAAAGAAATGTTATTAAAGTTATATAATAAGGTATGGGAAGTAGGATGTTTGCCAAAACAGTGGAAAGAATCAATTATCGTACCTATATGTAAACCAGGTAAGGATCCGAGTTTGGCAGAAAGTTATAGACCGATTGCTTTAACTTCACATGTAGGGAAAATTATGGAAAAAATGATAAATGAAAGATTAAAGTATTATTTGCAGACAAAGGAATTGATAAAGGATTACCAGAGTGGGTTTAGGAAGGGACGAAGCACAATAGATCCGGCTATATGTTTAGAGAGTGAAATTAGAAAAGCTCAAATTAATAAAGAAAGTATATTATCTGTATTTTTTGATGTTGAGAAGGCGTACGATATGTTGTGGAAACAAGGACTTTTGATTAAGAGTTATCAATTGGGAATAAAAGGGAGAATGTATAGTTGGATTAAAAACTTTTTAACTGATAGGTGGATTGCAGTAAGAGTAGGGACAGAATTGAGTACAAAGTATTTAGTGGAAAATGGAACTCCTCAAGGGAGTATAGTTAGTCCAGTTTTGTTTTCAATTATGATAAATGAGGTGTTTAGTAGAGTTGATAGATCTATAAGTGTTGCTTTATTTGCAGATCATGGTGTTATGTGGAAAAAGGGAAGAAATATAGAATATATAGTGAGGAAGATGCAAGAGGCAATTGGGAAGGTAGAGAGTTGGGGAATGGAATGGGGTTTTAGGTTTTCAGTGGAAAAGACCAAAGTAATCTGTTTTTCTCAAAGGAAAAAGCAAGAACAGATTCAACTTAAACTTTATGATAAAAATCTAGAGAGAGTGGAATGTTTTAAATATCTCGGGATATGGTTTGACAAAAAACTTATCTGGAAAATACATATTGAGAAAGTTGTTGAAAAATGTAAAAGAATATTGAATGTAGTAAGATGTCTGAGAGGTAGAGAGTGGGGAGCAAATAGGACCTCATTGAAAGTAGTTTATATTGGATTAATTAGGGCAGTTATAGATTATGGATGTACAGTTTACCAGTCTGCTTCAAAAACTTTACTAAAAAAGTTGGATGTTATTCAAAGTCAGGCGTTGAGACTCTGTTGTGGTGCTTTTAAAACAACCCCAGTAGCAGCATTACAGGTAGAAATGAATGAGATGCCATTGGAGATTAGAAGAAATCAGATAGCATTAACGTACTGGGCAAATTTAAAAGGGCATAAGGAAAGTCACCCGACTCAGAAGGTGTTACAACCATGTCAAGAAAGGGAAAGACGAAAGATTAAGAGCTTTGGTTGGATAATAAGGGATGCAGTCGATGAGATAGGGATAGGAAATATGACGGTTAGTCCAACTGTGCCATTATCTAATGTTCCACCTTGGCTATTAGAGGAGTTAGAGGTAGATTTGCACCTATTAGAGTGGAAAAAAGAGAATAGTATTGATAGGAGTCAGGTTAGTAGATATATAGAGGAGAATTATTCTATGTTTATTAAGATATATACAGATGCATCAAAAACAGAAGGTAATAGAGTAGGAGCTGCGTTCATTATACCAGAAGTGAATGTTATGTTAAATAAGAGAGTAAATGATAAAATGTCAGTGTATACAGGAGAATGCTGGCCATTCTCTTAGCCCTTGAGTGGGTTGAAAATAGTAGGTCAAGGGAAGTGTTAATTGGGTCAGATTCAAGTAGTGCGTTAACCAGTAGGCTATTAAGAACATGCAATCCGAAGCAAGACATGATATTTTGTTGGAAATAGCTCAAGCTGTTTATAGAGTTAATAGAGTAGGAGTAGTAGTAAAATTCATCTGGATTCCAGCTCATATAGGAGTAGAAGGAAATGAAATGGCAGACAAATATGCCAAAAATGCAACCAAAAGAACAGAGATAGATATGGTAATAAGTTATAGTAAGGCGGAAGTTAAAAGCATAATCAAAGAAGAAATGAGAAAGAAGTGGCAAGAGGAGTGGAATAAAGAAACAAAAGCAAGAATGTATTACAGTATCCAAAAGAGGGTAGGAGGTATGAGAGAAAATAATAGGAATAAAAGGGAAGAGGACATTATTTCAAGAATGAGATTTGGGCATACTGGATTGAATAGTACCCTTACATTAATAGGGAAACATGAAAACGGGATGTGTGAGGTCTGTAATATTAATGAAACAGTAGAACATGTTATTATAAATTGTCATAAGTATAAGGAGGAAAGGATGAGGCTGAAAAACTGGTTTAGAAAAGAAAAAATTAGATTTGAAATGAAGGAAATATTACAAATGAATTCAGGACATGTAGGGTATAGAGCGATATTTGTGTTTTTGAGTAAAACAGGGCTTAGTAGAAGAATATGAGTTGAGTTGTCTTAGAAAGTTGTATTTAATAATAATGATCATGTATGAATATTAATAATGTTATTAAATATTTATGAAGTTATTTATTGGTTTTATTATGGATGTATGTATTTATTTATATATTTATTTAAAGGTAGTGAG